CTCGAGTTTGCTTTTCATTATAGTGCTCTGTTGTCTCTTCTTTCTTACTGTCGTCTCCAGTTCTTCCCTCGAGCTCTTGCTTTGTATCCTCATTCCCATTCTTTACCCTGTTCCCAAATTCTGCGTCCAAAGCGTCATCTGAGCTTCTGTCCATCTCCATTGCAAGAGTGTTTTGGAAGCAAGCAATGTTTCAACCGCTTTCCAACCCCGGGTATCGGCGGCAAAATCCAACAACACACTTCCTTCTCCCTTCGACCCGTCACCCCCCTTCCTCCCCTCCCTTGCCTTTTCGCCTTTGCCCTATAAATGTAGATGACCTGGCCAACCAACAAAGGATCGTTGTCACGTAGCCTTCAGATCCACCTGTTCCAGTTCCCTCCCCTGCCTCAAACGAAACCCGCGAGAAACCACCCCTCCCGCCTACCACGTTCGATCTCCGCCATTTGCGGTGGGGTAGGTTTATGCGCCATCGCAAGAAAAAACTTCACAAATCATGTATATCTCCAGCCGATCGGAGCCAAGTTTTAATAGTTGCCGTTGAACAAAAGAGAGTTCATTGTGTGGTTGCAGTCCATCGTTTTTTATGCGTTTTTTTGCAGCTGCGCAGTGCAGAAAACGCTTATTGGCGAGAGGTTGTCCGTGTGTGTGTGTCTGTTTGTGTGCTGCACGTCTGTACCATTTTTCATCTCGAGACCCGCAAAAGTTACGGGGCTGAAACGTGGTGAACTTAATCTGCATGCGTTTACGAGTCCTCATCTCCGAAATGAGTGGTCTTACCCGCGTGGTACCCAAGTGAACGTTCCCGTAAAATTTCAGCTTTCTAGCCTTTCTGATTCCCGAGTTAACGACTCACTCGTGAAAGTCTTTCGCGGGTAAATCGCTAACTCAGGAATCAGAAAGGCTAGAAAGCTGAAATTTTACGGGAACGTTCTCTGCCCATGTAAGTCTTAAAGAGCGTCAAACCAGTCCTCGGGTACGCGTGGTACCTGCGGGTGTGTGAGAGTTTTTCGTGGATAAGTCGCTAACTTGAGTACCTGAAAAGCTAGAAGAATGCAATTTTAAGAGAGTGTTCCCCGTCCAGTTCGGTATTGACGAGTCCAAACCCACCCCTCGGGTTTGCGTGGTACTCACGCACAGGCTCACCAGATTTCTTCTCGGGTAAGTCGCTAACTCAAGAACCTGAAAAGCTAGAAGGCTGTAATTTTAGGAGGATGTTCCCCGCCCATGTAAGTCTCAAAGAGCTCAAACCCAGCCGTCGGGTATGCTTGGTACCACGTACGGGCCCGTGAAATTTCTTCGTGGATAAGTCGCTAACTCGAGAACATGAAAAGCTAGAAAGCTTAAATTTTAAGGAGGCCAGTCTTAATTTGTTTAGTTGGAAGCATCTTGTCCTGCCGACACCGGTTTTTCCGGCGCTTTTATTGCCGGAAAAACCGGTGCCGGTAGGACAAAAACTGTGGGGAACTATGCAAAAAACGCATCTTTCCACAGGCAGCCCGTGCGTTGGCCAA